TCGGGTCCTAAAGCTGAACATCAGGAACGTCTTGTATGGGGCCGTTGGTGGTTGATGCAGTGCCCCTGGAGACTAGAATGCTGCCGCTGGAACCCTTAACGCCGTCTGGGGGAGCTGGAATGCCTTCACTGGGAGCTGGAATGCCTTCCGTCGGAGCTTTAAGGCTGCCTTTACAAGTTTTAACGCTGCCCATGAAAGCTGGAACGCTGCCTTTGCAAGCTTTAACACTTCCTGTGGAAGCTGGCAAGCTTAACCTGGAGGCTAGCGGACATCTATGATGGGGAAGGACGCAGGAAGCCGGGCAGGTTTGAGTGGACGCCGCCAAGGACCTGGACCGTTGTGTTCCATACTCCAAGCTCTTCAGCTTCTCCTTGAGCTCGTAGTCTGGAGGGAACACAAGTGAGTCAGGTGAGGGAGACCCGTATTGAGGAGAGAGAGACATACATTATTACCATGTATAATGACTTGAGATACAGGAGTTACAGGTACTTGTACCAGGAAAGACTAGGGGATACTTGTCACAGAGACTCTTGGGGACTTAAACTAGCAGGTTCTAGGGGTACTTGTACTTTGGGACTCTACGGGTACATGAACTAGCAGGTTATAGGGGGTACTTGTATTAGGAGAGACTATGGGTACATGAACTAGTTAACAAGATTGGCACTAAGTAGCATTATTTACAATGAGAAAATCAATTGGAATAATGAGGTGACTGGAACCAGCGATAAGGGTTACTCCCAGCCGCGCACCTTACCCCTGTACCATAACATGGCAAAAGTTACACAACCTGGGATTCCACTGAATCCACAGCAAATCTGGAGGCTTCCACAGAAGCCAGTCTACGTTCTACACATAACCCCTATGCACTCGTAGGGACCCGGTGGCTGAGCGGACAGAACACTATACACGTAATCCTGTGGTCCCGGGTTCGATCCCGGGCGCCAGCGAGAAACAATCGGCAGAGTTTTTCACCCTGAGAGCCCCTTTTACCTAGCAGTAAATAGGTACCTGGGAGTTAGTCAGCTGTCACGGGATGCTTCCTGGGGGGTGGAGCGGGTCGCGGGGACACTAAGCCCCGAAATCATCTCAAGATAACTCAAGAACTCTGATGTAGGTGAAGCCAATTATCAACCATACGCACAAGACTTAAAGCTTCAGTAGAAGACTCGACCAGACTTAGAGTGAATTCAGTGGAATCCGAGGTTGTGTAACTTATACCATGTCGTGGCGCAGGGGGTAAGGTGTGCGTGGCTGGGAACACTTTGATCGCTGGTTCGAGTCGCCTCATTGCTCGAGGTGGTTTTCTCATTGATATATATAGCCCGTTAGGGTGATAATTCTGTGCATTATTTACCACCAAACACCATTATCAACAAGAACCGCCAATCAACATACAAAAATACCAAACGGTACCAAGTTAGCATTAGGATGTTTGTAGAAGCATTTCTATGTTTATAAAAGCATTTGGACGCTTATAGAAGCATTTGGATGTATATAGAAGAATTTGCATGTTTATAAAAGCATTAGGGGATTTACAGAAGCCTTAAGAGATTGATAGAAGCATTAGGATATTTGAAGGGTAGCGATAAGAAACATCAGGGAGCGATAAGAAACATCAAGGAGCGATAAGAAACATCAGGGAGCGTTAAAAAACATCAGGGAGCGATAAGAAACATCAGGGAGCGATAAGAAACATCAGGGAGCGATAAGGAACATCAGGGAGCGATAAGAAACATCAGGGAGTGATAAGAAACAATAGGGAACAGATGCTGGTCCAAGCTCTGATGTACGAGCCCCACAGGATGCTGCCCACAACAGTACAGTGATGTACGAGCCCCACAGGATGCTGCCCACAACAGTACAGTGATGTACGAGCCCCACAGGATGCTGCCCACAACAGTACAGTGATGTACGAGCCCCACAGGATGCTGCCCACAACAGTACAGTGATGTACGAGCCCCACAGGGTGCTGCTCACAACAGTGCAGTGATGTACGAGCCCCACAGGATGCTGCCCACAACAGTACAGTGATGTACGAGCCCCACAGGATGCTGCCCACAACAGTACAGTGATGTACGAGCCCCACAGGATGCTGCCCACAACAGTACAGTGATGTACGAGTCCCACAGGGTGCTGCTCACAACAGTACAGTGATGTACGAGCCCCACAGGATGCTGCCCACAACAGTACAGTGATGTACGAGTCCCACAGGGTGCTGCCCACAACAGTACAGTGATGTACGAGCCCCACAGGATGCTGCTCACAACAGTACAGTGATGTACGAGCCCCACAGGATGCTGCCCACAACAGTACAGTGATGTACGAGCCCCACAGGATGCTGCCCACAACAGTGCAGTGATGTACGAGCCCCACAGGATGCTGCTCACAACAGTACAGTGATGTACAAGCCCCACAGGATGCTGCCCACAACAGTGCAGTGATGTACGAGCCCCACAGGATGCTGCTCACAACAGTACAGTGATGTACGAGCCCCACAGGATGCTGCTCACAACAGTACAGTGATGTACGAGCCCCACAGGATGCTGCCCACAACAGTACAGTGATGTACGAGCCCCACAGGATGCTGCCCACAACAGTGCAGTGATGTACGAGCCCCACAGGATGCTGCCCACAACAGTACAGTGATGTACGAGCCCCACAGGATGCTGCCCACAACAGTACAGTGATGTACGAGCCCCCACAGGATGCTGCCCACAACAGTACAGTGATGTACGAGCCCCCACAGGATGCTGCCCACAACAGTACAGTGATGTACGAGCCCCACAGGATGCTGCTCACAACAGTACAGTGATGTACGAGCCCCACAGGATGCTGCCCACAACAGTACAGTGATGTACGAGCCCCCACAGGATGCTGCCCACAACAATATAGTGATTTCCAGATGCCTGTTACAAGGGGCAACAGTGCCCGGACTCAGAGCCTGGCGCGTGGTCAATTACACAAAGGAAAACAACCAATCACAAATACTTAGCTTTTGCGAGTAATGGTGAAGTAACCGCAAGTTACTTAACGTATAAATCAAAGTAATCCTAACTGGCGGCATCCAGTAGCACTTACGTGAGGGAAGAAGCAAGTAGCATCTAGTAACATTATGTATTTATAAAGAGGCCCCGGCGATACCAGACGGCCCTAAGTGAAATCAAACGGCATGCAGCGAGTATCTCCACTTAACATTAAGTATCACTAAGTAATACAAGTAACACCATAAAGGAACTAACCTTCACTCTGAGTGGCAGAGTCGACCCGTTGCGAGGACTCTGACATGTTGCGTTTAATGGTGGAGTACCTGGAGCTGCTCATCATAGACTGGCGGACGTTTCTCTCCGGTCGTATGAGGATGATGTAGAGCTTGGGCGTGAAGAGGCAGACGAGCGCCACCGTGGCTGAGAGTGAGATGGTGACCGAGGTGGTGGTGATTCTTAGCTGTGGACAAATGACAGGTGAGTGAGTGAGAGAGAGAGAGAGAGAAGATGAAGAGAGGGGGAGAGAGAGTGAAGATGAAGAGATGGGGAGAGAGAGAGAGCGGCCGGTACTGAAGTTTCTTGCTAGGTCGCTAAGAATATTAACATCATTAGGGGAGCGCGTGAGACTTACTAAACACAGCAAGAGTTGGAAAAAATTCGAGTCACAGTAATTTTTGAAACCGTTAGTATTCATCACTCTCTGATAGCGTTATCATCACCTCCCTTCCTCCGTCCCCTCCCTCCTTCTCTACCTTCCTCTTTCTCTCCCTTGCTGTCTCCCGCCCTTCCTGCCTGCCTTGCCCCTCTCCCTTCTTGCCTCTCTCCCGTCCTACCCATGCCCTTACCTACTCGACTACCTTCATGTCTCCTCTCCCTCCCTCATCATATTTTCAACTTCTGGAAAAAGTTAAGAACTGTGCACTGCAGCTAATCTCCATGCAGACTCGACCCCTTCCTGAGCTTGACCCTTCACTCATGCAAAGAAACCACTTGGGCTGGACGGTGGACCGACGGTTTCACTTCATGCAGATCGTCGTTCAATCCCCGACCGTCCAAGTGGTTGGGAACCATTCCTTCCTCCCCGTCCCATCCTTATGGTGATCCCTTCCAAGTGCCATATAGTCATCATGGCTTGGCGCTTTCTCCTTATAATTCCCTTTCCTCCCTGCAGATATAACAATAGCCAAGAGCTGGGAGCATCTTTAGTGACATGTGCAAGCTTCGACGTTCCCAAGATGTCCCTGTGTATGAGCCATCTGAGAACACCAGGTGACGTGTACTGGATCGTCAGGCGGTCAGCCACCGCCTGTTTCTCCTTAACTGGCGCTCTCTTTCAGGCCAACACATCTACCACCTAACATTCCTTGCTCATCTGATTCCCATTTGGTAAGTGGGGTGACCAGCACGAGTGTAAACTACTGGCAACATTCAAGCCATGGATCACGAGTGACAAGTGTTATTCTTCCGTGTCCAATGTGTGTGTAAATATATGATCTACATGATCATTCTGGCTTTATGGTATATTGTAAAAATTATTTGAGGTGTTTGTCGGAGGGAGGGAATCAGGTAAGGTGTCAGAGGGAGGGAGGCTGATAGGGAGGTAAGGCAAGGCAATTATCAGGGGGAAAGCACCAAGCCATTGCAACTATATATAGCATTTGGAAGGGGTTAGATATAAGGATTTCGGATCAGTCCCCCGCCCAACCACTTGGACGGTCGGGAATTGAACGCTGATCTGCATAAAGCGTCCCTCTACCGTCCAGCCCAAGTGGTTAGACAGGTTGTTGGGGAGTGAGAGGGAAGCAGGGAGGGAGTACAGGCAGGCAGGCAAGCAGGCAAGCAAGCTGGCAGGGAGGTAGGCAGGCAAGCTGGCAGGCAAGCTGGCAGGCAAGCTGGCAGGCAGGCAGGCAAGCTGGCAGGGAGGCAGGCAGGCAAGCTGGAAGAGAGGGAGGCAGACAGGGAGTGAGAGCCGGCGGAACGGTATATATATTATGAGGTGTGAGGCGGTGTGATAGAGCCAGGGTGGTCAGTAGGGTGACAGTGACGGAGTTGAAGAGAGTTGAAGAGTGGCTAGGAGAATGAGAGAGAGGGGAGGAGAGAGAGCGAGAGAGAGAGAGAGACAGCCGAAGAAGGAAAGAGTGAGAGAGAGGGTTGGAGAGAGATAGTAACTCGCCACAAACACCACCAAGACCCACCTCCACATTGTTGGCAGTCGAGAAGTATATGGGGACGAAGGCCAGCCAGATGATACACGTTGTGTACATGGTGAAGCCGATGTGTTTACTCTCGTTGAATGCCTCGGGGATCTTGCGGGTGAGAACGGCGTAGACGGTGCACACCACGATCAGCCCTGGGGAAGGAACAGCACTTGCTCACGTTCCTGCTGCTGCTGCTACTCGTTCCTCCACTAGCATGACGTTCCTATTACCATACGGCTACTATTCTCAAGGCGCCCGCTCCTACATTAACTTCTGTGACTATTTTAGAGCTGTTATTCTGAACGAAGCCAAAATAGACTGGAGCAAGTTTGATACGAGGCTGAAATAGGCATGAGCTTCCTATTATCTTTACCGCTCCTATTATCTTACCGCTCCTATTATCTTACCGCTCCTATTAACTTACCGCTCCTATTAACTTACCGCTCCTATTATCTTACCGCTCCTATTCCGAATAAACCCATTCCTTCACTACCTGGCGTGCCTCCTTACCGATGCTACTCTCTCTCTACATCTCCGCAATAACTTGCTTAATTAATGCATATCTTAAGACTACACATTTTCAGAGACACTTTTCTCTGTGTTAACAAATCTTCAACAGGATCATTGCAGGCTTGAGACAAACTGTTCCTCTCCTACTGCTATTAACAACAGTCTGTTTGATCAGGTCTTGCCTGCACTCTGAAAGTTCTACCGGGTCAAGTGTGTTTATATTCACATAAAAGCTGTATCATAAACGAGGAAATATTTTTAATTATTCAAACTCTTTAAAATAGCTATTTCTAGTGGAGGGTTTCACTCAAAACGTAGTAAAGGTGAACTATTTTCCAGATTTTGAGTTCATGTTCGGTGTTGGAAATTTCCAACATTAATACACTACTATTGTATTATAATAAATCATTATTATTATGTACTAACTACAGTAGTCACTAAATTTACTAACAATAGTGTTAACATAAACTAACCATTGTATCTACGTATTAATGCTAGAATTCTTACGAAATAAAGCACCAACATTGCGTCAGATAATGTCTAGTTAAACACATTTATTACCAATGTGTTAGAGAATTGAATGTGGTTCTCTAAAATCATCAGTATTCCGTGTGATAATTATTTACGGATAACATAACTCCCAAATAATTCTAAATCGAGAGTTTTTAGTTACAATTGTTATCAAGTAATAGTTTTTCTGTCACGCGTGAATGCCATGGAGAAAACTAAAATCTTCTCCATTTCTCGTTTAACACCATAAGACGAGAAAGCAATAATATTTAAATCCCTAGAATCACAACCCAGTCTTTATTAAAGTATTTCAACCACGATTGCGCGAAATAGTATTATTCGTGATAAATAATTTCGGTGGTGAATCCGGGACGCGGGTTGAGGAGGAGGAGACACCATTGTGACGCTTGTGGAGCCAGAGCGTGCAGCCAGGGTGCTTAGAGAACGGAAGGTCTTGGCGTCAGAGTCTGAGACACGTGGCGTTGGGGAGTTATCAGCAAGAATTACACCGATACCCAACTAATAACGAATAATTATTCTTCCACGTGCTCCATAGTGCTCGGTCAATCAATAACGCGTCGATAATCAAGCCAAAACCCTCAATCACGTGTACAACACCGTGGAAGTCTGGGATTGATAGACGAGATATCGGCAGACTTCAGCAATTACTGCGCTCATGCTAAGTATATTTTCTTTCTTGATGCATCATTAGAGATTGTATATTTCGTGGGTAGTCTGTCGTTATATAGTGGGACGACACCAAATCCAACGTTAGTACCGCATTAATATTTATTTTCTGTTTTCACAAATATTGAGATCTAAGTAGCCTAGTTCAATGCTACGTAATATCCTTTAAATTACAGCTCGTATGTGAGGAGTCAACGAGTCGTTAATCGTATTCGTGTTATTCACCGCTAATGGCTTCTATGTGGAGATCCTGAGATCACGAGGACGAAGCACGAACGATGTCATAGAAATCGTCTTAAAGCTAAAACTTTTTGTACACATTTAATTATTCCATTTTAATGTACAAATTTACAAGATTATCATATCGAATATTTTTACCGTATGATTACTGGAAATTGATGTGTTTACTTAGATGATTGCTCTTTAATTTTAATAATCATTAATATTCACTATTTGAATTCACCTATTGATTCTATAATATTTTAGGTCATATTATTTACTCAACAATGAACTGGTGACGAACCACACTAGTTCCTAGACGTATATGAAGTTCTAGCAATACCCCCCCCCCCCCCCCAATGTAGGTGTTTGAGGCTCTGACTTTAGTGAATTAATCATACAGTCCATTATTTATTTAAGTGATTATTCTTTCTAATACTTATCAATAGACACTGGTTTTCCTTATGTTTCTAATGATTACTTTTTATTAGTTTCCCTCTTTTCTCAAAAGTGGGTGGTCCTTCGTTATTAAATTAAATAAGTAATTAAATAATTGAATAAAGCCCCAGATATTCCACATACGGCTCCCTATTTTGAATTCATGCTCGACATTTGATTTTTGAATTCGTGTTCGACTCCTTCAAAACCACAGCCGCGAGGCCCACCTTCAGCATCACTTAAGCTGTACGAAATGTACATAAGCATACACAGGAGGGGCCCGAAATATCTCGTATTGGGAAGGGTTGGAACAAATTAGTACCTATGCCTACTAATAAAAGCACATACATTTGCATATATTTCGATACAACAGTATGGATACGATTCATACAATTGCTAGGAATTGGTGGTGTGCCAAGAATGATATTAATTCCAGGCATGATTGTCTTCTTAAATATTGGTTTGGTAACAGGGGTGGTTGACGTATGGAACAAATTACCAAGTAACAATAAAACGTGGGAGGCGCTATTATATACATGGGTAGGTGCTCCCACGTATGAGCAAGTAGGCAATCTGAGGGTATGGTCTTACTTTGTACTGCTATGGTCTTAATATTCGCAAGTGGGTGTTGGTGGAGCGTGGAGGGGACTTACCTATGGGGTAGGCGAAGGCTATCATGTAGGAGGCGTTGATGGAGGCAGCGCACACCAGGAAGTTGTCCTCTCTTACCAGGTAGTAGTGGATGGCTCTTGGGGGGGACACCACCCACCACACCCCTGTGATCACCACCTGCGGCCGTCATATAGTCTTGGTTTAGTGCGCCGCAGCCGCCACCAGACTCTCTCATGCACTCTCTCCACACACACACACACACACACACACACACACACACACACACACACACACACACACACACACACACACACACACACACACACACACACACACCCTCCCCTCCTCCCACTCACCCATCTCCCCATGCCCTCCCGTCTCTCCCACCCCAAGCCCTCCGTTCTCCCCCGCCCCTCTAAGCCCTCCCTCCTCCACCAGTCTCCCCCACCCCCCCAAGCCCTCCCTCCTCCACCAGTCTCCCCCACCCCCCCAAGCCCTCCCTCCTCCACCAGTCTCCCCGTACCAGATCCTCCCAGCTCCCACTCACCCCAGATCCCACAGGTCCCCCCCAGAGGAGAAGCAGAGAAGTCAGTTTCAGGGTAATGTACTCGAACATAGATGGGATCACAAGCAAGACAAGTGAACTAAGGGAAAGAGCACAAGAAGTGAACCCAGATGTAATCGGACTCGCTGAAACAAAACTCTCTGGAATCATAACGAATGTCGTGTTTCCCCAGGATTACACAGTAATAAGGGAAGAGAGGGAAGGTAGGGGAGGAGGTGGAAAAACAAACTTGGTAAATTTCGAATTCAGTCATGAGCGTCATGGCGGGGAACCAAGTGGACACTCTGTAGTGTGGAGGAGACACTAATTATAGCCGTTAAAGTGGTCGACATTAACGATAAAGACCAGTGCCAAGTGCCAACAGCGACAGAACCTTTCAACGACTATGCTGGAGAGCAAGATTGCAGGCACTCGAGCCAGTGAACACGTTGATCATCGATCCATAAGATCGGCGCTGCCCAATAAACTCGCCCCTCGGGGCAAAATTAATTTTTTTTTTAAATCGGCAACGTCAAGCAACAACTCGTTATCTGATTTCATTATTTTCATTATAGGTCACATTGAGAGCAGCAGCGATAACAACCTGATTGATCAGACCCTCAACCTAGAGACCTGATCTGGGCTAGGATTTATCCTGCATTTATGCAATCACTTGCAAAACCTTTACATCATTTTTGAATTATGATTGCAAGCTTATCATTCCTGAATTATGATGAACAGTTTGCGAGCTTGGACACTTCACAACCCGAGGTTGTTATTGTTATAAACACCCTCGAAGGGCTTAGCTCAGAGACGGTTTAATAAATATATAGTAGCAATGATTGACGCAAAGATGAACAGGCTCCGTAAGCAGCTGCGTAAACAATGGATGCATCCTGGCCATGGGCGCCAGGACACTCATCCTCGGAACCACCTCATCATGAGTGATGAGTAAGCCATCACGAGACATGAGTAAGCCATCCAAGCTGACCCATATCCTGGCTCACTCAGTTGTCAACAAGGTTAAGGATATAAAAGAAAGTGATGTGAATTTTACGTCTGCGACTCTGGAATCGAAGATCTCCGTGAGTTATCGGTCAGGTGAGTGAGTTATCGGTCAGGTGAGTGAGTTATCAGTCAGGTGAATACAATGAAACGTACTAAATGCACCGTACTGTGAAAAGTCGCAGTTTTCAAGTATTTATGTATTTGTTTGCAACATTTAGTTGGACCTCTGGAAAGAGAACGGCAAGTCAGTTTACAACTATTAAATAAAATACTGAAAATGTCAATGAAGAGAAGGTTTAGATTCCAAAAGAAGAGAACCGTGGGAGATGACACAGGGAGTGGTGAGCCGTGGGAGATGACACAGGGAGTGGTGAACCGTGGGAGATGACACAGGGAGTGGTGAGCCGTGGAAGATGACACAGGGAGTGGTGAGCCGTGGAAGATGACACAGGGAGTGGTGAGCAGTGGGAGATGACACAGGGGGTGGTGAGCCGTGGGAGATGACACAGGGAGTGGTGAGCCGTGGGAGATGACACAGGGAGTGGTGAGCCGTGGGAGATGACACAGGGAGTGGTGAGCCGTGGGAGATGACACAGGGAGTGGTGAGCCGTGGGAGATGACACAGGGAGTGGTGAGCCGTGGGAGATGACACAGTGGGGAGGCGTGGGAGATGACACAGGGGGTTGTGAACCGTGGGAGACACTAGCGCCAGGCCATTACGACTATATAGCACTGGGAAAGGGTCAGGATAAGGATTTAGAGTGAGACCCGGATTGGGGGGAGGGAATGGTGCCCAACCACTTGGGCGGTCGGGGATTGAACGCCGACCTGCACGACGCGAGACCGTCGCTCTACCGTGGAGGGAAAGTCCACGAACAATATGCGGCGCAAAACTTGCAACGTAATGAAATTGAAGCTCAGGTAAAGAAGCAAAATAAATAAACAAGTAAAATAAAGTCCTTTGTGCGGGAAGCTGTTTGGTCATGAGGTCAAAAACATCAGAACAGAAAAATGGATTCACTTAAGAGGAAAAACTTTGGAGCAGGACGGTGGGATCGAACTTTTGTCTTTGGTAACCCCTGACACTCGCCTTAACTCAAGGACTACAGTGTAAGATAAATTTAATATACCCACAGCTATATAGACCATCAACAGCAACATAAGGACTGGAGAGAAGTGATCACCTTGTGATCCGTTAAGTGTTTGGACTCAAGACAATGGTAAGAAGTGATGTGGACTGAGTGGGAGGCTGTTGTGTATATACATAATATCAGAGGAGCTGTACAGTCACAGGAGGATACCATTGGTCACTATGTAATAGGTAGAAATTAGAGGACTAACAGTGAAAATAAGTTCGACCATTTTAAGTCAAATTCCGGGATGCAAATGATGCACGTTTTCCGCTTCAGAGAGAGTCAAAGCAGTTTTGCTAAACATTAAAATGTATATCTGGAGCTACTCTCAGAAAGAGATGAAATAACCAAATGAATTTCAGAGAAGGACCAGGAGAAGTATCAACTAGGGAGAGGAGAGAACACAGCGGTTCCATCCCCCTCAACCTCTGAGGCACGACCTTTTAGTCTCCCTCTCCCGCCATCTCCTCTTAATGCAAACATCTCCATCTCCCCAATCCGGAAGCGCTAAACTCCCTCACACCTGACAAGAGTCTCTTAAAGAGTGTGTCGTCACCCTGATACCCCAGAGCCACCCTGGCTCACTGTCACCTGCTGTGCTGCTCCCGCTCTCATCACCACTACTCCTGCTCTGACACCATCCCCACACATCCCATCCCACCACTCTCTCACCTTAACCCATTTGTCAACTTCTAAACGTAACCCATCTCTCATTTGACAAGTTCTCAGCATAACCCACTTGACATGTTCTCAACATAACCCATCTCTCATTTGACATGTTGCGACAAGAAGTATCGCTGCAAGCAACAGGGTTTTGGACCAAGTTATCACCTCGTGACTGGCCCCAAACATGATAACTAGGGTCGCATAACTGGAAAAGTGCCGCGATGGGTGAAAGGATAACTCCCTGATAGGAAACAGAAGGTAATATTGAGCGCATGAAAGTCGGATTGGTGACAAGCGTGCCTTAGAGATCTGTATTAAGAAACGATCAATTCTTGATTCCTGTCAATATATTGACAGAGAAAACATAACAATCTGTAACCTGGTTTGAGGGCAATGTAAAAATAATGAAGAGCTTAGGAAACGACGATGACTGTTTGAGGCAACAGGGAGATCTAGACGTGCATGGTTGCTTGCCTTTAACCCTGACAAATGCAAGGTAATGAGAGTGAGGGGGATGGGGAGACCCCCAGGAACAGTAGGGCCTTAGACGGAAGCAGCTACAAGAACAGTGAGAGAACAGGATCTGGGAGCCTATATATAACACCGAACCTCTCTCTCTCTCTTGAGGAACACGTTAAATAAGCTTATTTATTAAGGAGTTTCAAGAGTAAATACGGCCAGAAACGGGAGGATTGCAAGTCATTATATTAACTGTAGGGCCAGGGAGCTACAGCTCGATTCTGTATACACAACATGGCGAGTACAACTAGGTGAGTACCTCTGTTATTTCATGCTGTCCCCCTCATAGTCCTCTCATCTCCACCCCGTCACACAGGCCCATCTGCACTCAACTGCTGCTTCTGTCCACCTCACTGTCTGTTACACATCATCCCATTACACACGTCACCCTCCCTCCCTCCCTCCCTCACACCCTCACATGCCTCACACCCTCACATGTCTCACCCCTGCTTGTTGGGATTCTGGGAGTTCTTCTTCTCCCCAATTCCGGCCCGAGGCCAGGATTGACTTGTGAGAGTTTGGTCCAACAGGCTGTTGCTTGCAGCGTCCCGCAGGCCCACCACAGCCCGGTTGGTCCGGCACTTCCTGAAGAAAACTATCTAGGTTTCCCTTGATGTTCACGTCCACCCTCATACATATCAGTCACATACACCATCCCCTTAAATATATTAGACCTTCACATATCACCCACTCATATACATAACTCACATCACTCGCCTCACAGACTTCACTCGCCTTGCAGACATCACTCGCCTCGCAGACCTCACTCGCCTCACAGACCTCACAGACATCACTCGCCTCGCAGACATCACTCGCCTCGCAGACCTCACTCGCCTCACAGACCTCACAGACATCACTCGCCTCGCAGACATCACTCGCCTCGCAGACCTCACTCGCCTCGCAGACCTCACTCGCCTCACAGACCTCACAGACATCACTCGCCTCGCAGACATCACTCGCCTCGCACATCACTCGCCTCGCAGACCTCACCCGCCTCACAGACCTCACAGACATCACTCGCCTCGCAGACCTCACTCGCCTCACTACCTCAGACATCACTCGCTTCACAGACATCACTCGCTTCACAGACATCACTCGCTTCACAGACATCACTCGCCTCACATTCATCATATACTTCACCCCTAATAGAGATCACCCCCCACATACATCAGCCCTATATATGCATCAACCCATCGCCCCTCATATATATCGCTCCTCACATATATCATCACCTCGTATATATATCTCCCTCCTCACATTTATCACTTCGTCTCGCATACCACGCCCTCACTGTCATCTACCCTTCC